AGAAAATTGAGGCCTCACTCAGCTGACTGAGGGGATTGGTCTGCTCTGCTCTGCACTGGGGCTGCCTCACCTCAAGTGCTGGGGGCACTTTTAGGTGCTACAGTGTAAAAAAGACATGAAACTAGTAGAGAATGTGCAAAAGAGGGTCATGAGGAAGCTGAAAGGCCTGGAGGGGAAGCTGAATTAGTGGCTGAGGTCACTTGGTCTGCTCAACCTGAAGGAGACTGAGGGGGCACATCCCTGCATTTACAATTTCCTTGTGAGGGAACAGGAGGGTCAGGCACTGATCTCTGCTCTGGGGTGACAGTGAAGGACCCAAGGGAAGGGCCTGAAGCTGAGTCAGGGCAGGTTTAGGTTGGGTACCAAGAGAAAGTTCTTCATCCAAAGGGTGGCTGGGCACTGGAACAGGCTCCCCCAAGGAAGTGATCTCAGCACCAAGCCTGAGAGACTTCTAGAAGTGTTTGGACAATGTTCTCAGGTACATGGAGGGGTTCCTGGGGTTCTGTGATGGGCCAGGAGATGGACTGGATATTTCCTGTGGGTCCCTTCCAGCTCAGGATGTTCTGTGATTCTGTGAAGTCTAGATTCTCTGATGCAAAACATGGGGGAAAAAGTAAAAATTGAAAAAGAACACATTTTGAAAACTTGCTCAGCTTTCTCTACATTTGCTGCAGAAACCCTGAGTGTAAAGTTTAGACTACAAACATGTGAATATTTTCCATAGCACATTGCCTTCCCAGGCGTACAGGAAAAGGAAAGGTTCAAAAAAGTTTCCAAACTCAGCCCCCTCACTAGCAGAGTATTTTTAGCAGGAAGGGTGGCATCCAGTTTGACAAATTATCACTCTTACATAAGAAAAATCAGTGCTTATGGTGATGTAGAATAGAAAGATCAAGTGATACTCCAGATATGTGATTTGTGTACCTGAACTGAGAGAAGAATTTTGGTTTTTTCATTTAGTCTAAAACTAAATACCATCAAGAATTCTCGTGAATTAGAAGTTTTTTAAGTCTTGAAGGGAAAAACTCAGTATATAGGACTGTCTCATATAAGATTATCCTTAGGGATAAACCATGTTTATGTGTTTTGTCCAAGAACAGATAATAATGAATCACTAGCTGAATATGAGTCAACAAAGTACTGCTCTTGCCAAAAAACAGACAAAGCCATACTCAGATGTTTATCCACAAGTATTGCTTTCTGCTTTGCTGATCTTTAGTCAGGCCTTTGATGGAATGGCGTATTCAGGACTCTGAAATGCACTTCAAAAACTGTGCACTAACTGCACAGGATCCACAGGAAAGAAAATAATACTATCATACCTATAGAAAGAATAAATAGGAGAAAGGACAGGAATGTTTAACCTGCAGGTAGGAGCAATCTTTAAACATATACCAACCAGCACAAAGAAAGGGCTGGTTTCAGTCACCAAAATAGATTTAAAAATAATAATTTTGGGGGGGAGAAATATTTCTGTTAAATATCGGAAAATCTTCCTAACAGTGGGGGAAAAAGTATTGCAATAATTTCTACAAGGGGAGATAGACATTTTTGTTAGTTGTAAAAACACATGTTCTCCAGTAACACTAGATGATCACTCTCTGAGGTTCCCATCATCTTTTTTTGTTAGGTCTTGCAAACTATATAACAGTTTCTGAGAAAATGGTTCGAAATTCAAGTTATTTCTCTTTCTTTTTAGTGAAGTAATACTTGACCACAAAACAAGAAACACTTTTGGTCTCTGAATCTTGATTTTTCTATGGGCCCTGGGTGAGCTGAAATGTTCTCACACCCTGCTGAGGGATAAGAATTGTGGGTTTGTCTTTTTCAGCAGAAGAAAAAGTTATAGCATGCCCCACACTATGTAGAAGCACTATCTGTAGCCTGATGCAAGGAGCTTTGTTTTTCACAAAAGCCATTATCCTGAAGCACCAGTGTGAAGCCAGCACACTTCCCCAGAGCCCAGCATGATGCCATCTACCTTAATATCCTCTTAATAGCCAGTCTGCAGCAGAGATCATCTCTGTCACCCCCAGAGCAGGTATCAAATACTTCCTGCTCCTGTGAAGGGAAAAAAATGTTAACCCAAAGGAGATCCCTTTTATTCCAGTATCTTGGAGTCTGATTTCATGTTGCTTTGCATTACAGTCTGGGTTGGAAGGTCCCAGGAGCAGGAGTGGGTCAGGAAACAGGGAACCTTTGAACTTTCAGGTGAGTAAGGGCTAGCTATCATTATTGCTTCTCTCAGAGGAAAAGGTGCAGCTTTGGTGCTGTAGTGAACAGCCTTCACCCACTTCTGATGAGAGGAAGGAAGTGGCACATGCTGCAGTTGTCCTGGTCCTTCCACAGACAAAAATGAGGGGCTGAAAGGAGCTAATAGCATCCTGGTACCCATACTGAGGATCTTTTTTAAGACCCGGCACTGTCTAGGCTTTACAAGCTTCTCACTCTTAGTCTGTGTCATGCTTAATCAAAGACAAGAAAAATAAAATTTGCAGATGTTTTTATTTGATCAACTGTCTTCTGTTTTATTAGCTGGGAGGTTGGTCTCACGTTTCCTCAGATGTGTCATGCTAATTCTTGCCGTTCTAGATTGCACAAATCGTGCTGGGTTGCTGGAGCAGACACAAAGGGAAGTGACTGCCCTAGTTATGTGTAATATCTACATGGGCTTCCAGACATTTAACAGATGGAGAGCTTCAGCAGCAGTGTAATGCTGCCAAAACCATGGAGAGAAAAACATTACAGAATGCTTTGAGTTTTTCTTTGAATCAGTGACAATTTTCAGGGATAATAAAGGAAGCTGGAGTCTCTTCAAGTTTTAGCTTTATTTTAACTTCTTCCACAGGAAGGTATTATTTTCAAAACTGCAGATATAGGGATCAGCTACACAAAAGGAACTCCTCTGCAGAGAACCTTGCTGCTTTGCAGATATCACTCCATCATAAGCCCACCCCAGTGTTTAGTCTGTACACCTATACTGCTCTGTAGTCTTGGGAATTTTCTGTACCATGGTTACATGATTACTGGGCTCTCTCTGGGAGAATTCAATCAGTTCTTCTCTCCCAGTATGAGCTGGATCTCCAGTGCTGACCAGTCATGAGTTTTAAGGCACAAACTGCAGCTGTGTCCCGTTCTGCTTCTTGCTGTCTTTCACAGCATTTTCCTCAAGAAAAGCCATTTTACTTGTCCTCTGTCCAGCTCCTGGGCCATTGCTCCAGCAACAACCAGAAAGATCAGCCTTAGACACAGTCACACAAAAGCTATTTGCAGATAGCACCTAATGGGCAATAGTCATTGCATCCCATATTTAAGATGTGGGATTAAAAGCAGATAAAAGTCTAAGCCCAGCAGCATTTGTTTACAAATCTAGTGAGTACAGCCCTCAGCCCAACATGGTCTGATTTACAAACAGGAAAGAGCAACACTGTCCTTTTCAAAAGATTGAATCAAAGGAGTCAGCAGGGCAAGTCATTATGAGATACACAAAGAACATCCCCCAGCTGAGACAAGCAAAGCAGTGACTCAGATTCTGCACTCAACAGCAGTAACTGCTGCATACAGGAGAATATCTCTGTCTGATACAGCAGGTTCAACAAGATCAATAACAAAAGTTAAAATAAAAATAATTCCTAATGGATTATGTGACCTACACTAGAAGCTCACTGATATGTTCCAGTTAGAAATTAATTTAATAAGATCATTCTTCCCTACAGTAGACTTGCCAGAGTGACAAAGAAGTTATGTATGGCTTATGAGCCATACACCAGTAGAGTCCCTGCAGTCAATAGGAGTCCACAAAGGATTCTGAGGCACAAGCAGCACTTACAGAGAACAGAGCTGGCATGACAGAGGAGTTTTTGTTTAACACAGCTTGAAAAAATAAAGATTTTACATTTCATTTTCAGGGGAAGAAAAATTAACACGCACATACACTGTTGACATAGGTATGTTATTTATCTTCTAGATATGTTAAATAAGCATAACGATGTACATTTTATATGGGGCTGCAGGAAGACTGCATATAACAAAAACAATGCACATCTCTTAGCCACAATCAATCAGAAATTTTTTGCATTTTAAATAACAGGGAGTGTAAAACAGGCTTAATTAATAGGAAAATAAATGGGTTTGACCAGTTTTCTGCATAATCTGTCTAATTGTAATATCATTCATTGGACTGACTCACAGGCTTAAAGTTAAGCATGAGCCAAATAGGGATTTCAATCATTGCAGTCAAAATCCTGATTGACATAATTTGTGAGAGTTTCTGTATTTGTATATATCCAGAACTAGATATATTGATATTGATTCATTGTTATTTGGCTGACTGTATGGCACAGACTTTGGCTGGGAAAATGATTACTCCTTCAAATTTTTTCTTCTTCAAATTATTTCCCAACAGGGATAGATTGCCTATTTCTTGCCTTTTCTGAGTTTACCCAAAGGGATCTTCTGCAGCTTAAACTGCTTTCCCTCCTGTGCTGCTTTTGAGGGAGACTCGGTTTGCCTGTAATTCTGTTTGACATAAGTTAATAATTACTTTTCTGGTAAGTGTCCAGTGCTGATAGGACTAGGTCAAATGCCAGAATCCATTGCTAATGGAACAATTTTTAAACAGCTCTGAGTGGAATTCAGGTGTTAAACAAGTGCGTCGTCATATGATCCACATGTATGCCCATAAATTAAACAGCCCCAGTGAACAGCCCTGAAAGGATTCACTTTCCTATGTTGTTACTGTCTGGGATGTTTCGTGCAAGTTATTGCTAGAGAGAAGTCCTACCACTTCAGTGTTCTCACACATCTATGCAACCACTAACTTACTCATTTCAACCACATATTGACAATACACTCCTCCTTTTAGCCTAAAAGCAAGGATTAAACTTACAAGTAAACTGGATGTAAACTTGGGCACATAAGCATTAAACAGTGTACAGACATATTATCCGCAATTTTATTTGCTGGTAGGATGGTTATTAATTAATTAATTAATTAATTCATGTTATCATTACCTGTGCAAGATCTACATTATCATGATTTAATAAGTAAAAAATGAGATTAAGGGTTTTCTTTAAATCTTTTGAGCAGACAGTAGAATTAGTTAATGCCCCTCTACCACATGATAAATTACAAGAAGTTATGCAGCATTCAGAAGTATTTCAGAGTGCACTGGAGACTGCAGAAGAATTTCAATGGTCATTGAAAAATATTGTGATTGAATTTTCAACTCATAAATCAATAACATGACAAATAAAGGAAGCAGATGTAGATGGAAAAAACCCACAGTAAGAAATAATATGAAAAATAACACTTAATATTATTTGTGTCAGCTCTTTTCCTGTATTAAGAAAATTATAAAGAAAATTGAGTAGGTAGGAGGGGAAACATAAAATGGGAAGTTCAACAACGTATGGCCACCAGATTTAAATTCTTCCCCTCTCATCCCTAGTGAAGATCAGGAAGTAGAGCACTGTAAGCTCTTCCAATTCACATTGAGGATGGATCCATCAGTAAAGCAGAGTCCTACAACTGCCTGCAGTGGATTGTGAATCAGCTCAGTTCAGGAGCAGTGGTAGTGATGTGTAAAGCACCATTCCATTTATTTCTTTAGGGAAAAAGCATGCGCACACAGAGGCTAGAGGTTATCCAAGTCTCTTGTTACGTTTCATGGTTTGTTCTGCTGGGACAAAATTGCAATGTGCCCAAAGAGTTTTCCAGCCAAGCAAAACCATAACACAAGCATTACCACTCGTAGGGGAGAGCTGGTTCAGTTCTCCTGTCTCTGAGGTCAGTGGATGACACAGCAGAAAAACACCCCCGGCGTTTTATGCAACAGCCTCGGCGAGCCGGGGAGCGCTCCCAGCCAAAACCACACGTTCCACATTCTCAGCCAATGAAGCATCGTGAGCGGGGCTGTGACACAACAGGGCTGCCGTGCCGAAATAAAGACGGACCGGGCTCAAGGACAGAGGGTACAGAAACAGGAGCACTCGCTTTTCCAAACTGGTTTCTGACAAGTGTGATCTTGAAAAAAAAAAAAAAAAACACTTAAAAAATTACTAGAGGAGTTTGAGAAATAAGAACACACAAAGCATAAAATTTATTCTCACATTCCTGTGACACAGGCACCAAGCTGACTATCTAATGATTTTTTTTAATGAAACTACAATTATAATGTGATTTAAAACATTAACTCATTAATATAAACTACGTTTGTGAAAGAATTACTTAAAATACTCAAAGAATCATTCTTATGAATTGGCATTAAGAACCTAGAACTTGACCAACAGAACAGATGGAATTAAACCTCAGCCAAGGAAATCCTCAGCAAATTTATTTTTGAGAACAATATAGCAGGAAAAGTGAGATGATGCTAAATAAAATTCAAGCCTAAGTAACACTACCAAATTAAGCAAGGTTGATATGTGAGGATTTGTCACTGACAGAAAGAAAAGTCCAAGGTCATGATAATTTTTCTCTAGGAGTGCAGAAAGAGGAAACATGAAGTAGTTGCATAAGTGATAACCATGGGATTCTGGAATAATGAGGGTTTGCTATTCTCATTAAGGTTTCTCTTAGCTTATGTAAAAAATTCACTGACTAAGAAAACAAAGACTGATATAGAAATCCTTTACAGTGCCTAAAGCTTGTCTGAGTTGTGAGAGATTGAACAAACTAAATTCCAGATATTCTTTCAATCTTCTTCAAGAACTAGCTGAATAATTGAGATTACTTTCATTAGAATAATAGAATCATAAAAATTACAGAATTGTGGAATCATAGATTAATTGACATGGAAGGTACTTTTAAAGACCATCTGGCTCAACTCCCTTGAAATGACATCCTCAACTAGATATGGTTGCTTATCTTGTCATTTCGATCCCACTGGAGTTTTATGCCCTGTATTTGCCAATATAACTTGCACTCTGGTTGGTATAATCTCTGGTAGTATTCTACACTTTCGAAAATTAAATTTTGAAAATTGAACAATTTTCAAAACTTGTTACGTAAACAGGTGTATGTGTATATCTATGGATGGATGGATGGATGGATGGATGGATGGATGGATGGATGGATGGATGGATGGATGGAAAATTGCATATTTCTGTCTGAAATTTTAAATAACACAAAGTAACATCCATGGGGGAGGTTTTAGCTGTACCATGTGACAAGAGAGGTGTTCTCAGATGAGTTGTGGCGCCAGCATTTACTCCTTTCACCCTGTTGAAGTCCATCCAAGATGAAAGCCTCCAGTTCTCATGTTGTCTCTACAGCATGAAGAGATGTGTCTGCTGTTGCACAGAGCAGATGTGTGTGTGTTAAGCTCCTCTCTGTTCCAAGAGACCTTTAGAGCTGAAAATTCTGGAAATCAAAAGACACAGACCATCTCCACAGTGAAGCAGTATCTGCATATGTGGCTTCATCCTAAAAACCATGAGGCAAGGAGATTTAAAATAAACTGCTGGCTATTTGGCATGTGCTGACAAATTTTATTTGTCATTAAAATATTTAACACAACTGCAAATGACTAGTCATAACTGAACACTTTTTAACTTCTTAACTACTAAAATGTAACTCTGTTAGTTAACTATAGTATTTATTAAACTAATTTTATGATTTAACAAATTAGAAATCTCTGATCCCAGATTTTTATTTATATTATGCTGATAGTGAGTCGTGCTATCTAATGCTATGAAAAAGTAAGTGAACACCATTTAATGGAAACTTCTAAGTGTTATATTTGATCCAAAGTATAGAGAAGTCATCAGAAGTCTTTCTGTTACATTCAATTAAATTAAAATTGAATACATAAAACTGGAATACACATTAAATAAAATAAATTAAATTAAATTTAAAGAGCTCTTAAGTGCTTTCTTATTTTTGCAGCATCTTAATATAGCTGAAAATAATACATCATTCTTTATATGCAATTCCACAAATTTCATTCTCAGAGGCAAGTACTTATTTAATACAGGTCCTTCTTCCTTTTTACAGAAAATCTTTGGCTGCGCTTCATTATAAACCCCAAAGAATTTGGATTCCTTGTACACTAGTAATGAAAGAATTTTCTTCCTTCCTTCCTTCCTTCCTCCAAGAACAGTTTTAATAGCTACTTCTCAAAATTACTGTGTAGATCTGTTTAGTCTGTTAGGCTCTCAGATTAATCACTGGTTATTATTTCTCACTCTCGGCAGCCCCTGCTTCAAGGGCAATGAATCTCAGATAAGATTCTATTCTAGTACAAATCATCTCTTTTTGTGTTTCTCATAAAGAAAGTGTCTTTGGGTGGTCTGTGGCTGAAAGGGTCCAGAATAATAAACAGATACAATGTCAAGTGATTTAAATTTTCCATACTTCTCCCTGATATTGATTTCTGCCATATATTTGCTTTTCTATTCCTTTCAGCTGAGAAAAATGTAAATGAATGGTTCAAAAAATGGATCTTATTATCATTATCAAGATTAAGTAAGTCAAAGTAAAAACAGTGACATTTAAAACATAATTATAATTAAAATGATGAAAATATTGATTCTATTTCTTTGTATAGTGTGTTAATTATTGATTCAAATAAATTCATTTACTCAGCTAAAAAAACAAAATATTTTCATATCACATACTAAAATACATGAGATGAACTTCATTTAGCTTTAAGCACTTTAATTGCATTATGAATAATTCATATATTTTGCAGGGTCAAATTTCTTTTACTTGGCATTACATCAATAATCTCTCTGAATCTCTCTGTTTCATTCCTAGGGACACTTTTGTGTCCCTAACACAAAACCCACTGTTGATAAAGCTAGCAATAAATAACTAGCTATGAAATATAAATGGTAACCAAACAAGGAACAAGTCACGGGACCACAGGATGGGTCTGGTAGGAAGGGCCACTGTGGGTCATCTGGTCCAACCCCCTGCCCAAGCAGGGCCATCCCAGAGCGCACGGCGCAGGAATGCATCAAAAAAATGGGATATCTCCAGAGAGGGAGACTCCACAGACTCTGTGGGCAAACTGCTCCAGTGCTTGAGCACTGCACTGTAAAGTTCTTCCCAATGTTCAGGTGGAATTTTCTGTGCTCCTCTCACTGCCTGTTGTCTCTTGTTCTTTTCCTGGGCAGCACCGAGCAGAGCCCAGCCCTGCTCTGTCCCCTCCTGCAGACACTGACAGACACTGATGGGATCCCCTCTCAGCTGTCTCTTCTCAAGGCTGAACAGGGACAGCTTGCACAGCCTTTTCTCTTGAGAGAGATGCTTCTCTTCCTTGATCAACTCCATAGCTCTCTACTGGACCTGCTCCAGGAGCTTCAAGTCTCTCTTGTGCTGAGGAGCCCAGAACTGGACACAGCACTCTAGATGCAATCTCACTAGGGCTAAGTGAAAATTATATATAAATATACATACATTTCCCAGCAATCCCCCATTAACAATTCATATTCTTATTGCTGTTTATTAAGATAGCTAGACTTGATCATTCTATACTTGCAACCTCCACTTTGGCTTTCAGTATCAGTTAAACATTCTGAAGTTTAATTTTTGGAAATCTAGGGTATTACAATCCAGCAAAGCATTGCCACACAGAAATGGATTTGATCTTCTTATTAGGCCCAGTATGACCTATTGTGACATATCACACAAAATAAGTTTAGTTAAAGTTTCATTCTTCCAGCCAAGCATGCGCTTAGGCCCACTAATGAATTACGTCCACTCACTTGTGGATCAAACTTTAGATGGAACCTATAAGCCAAATATCTACTTTAAAAGTGCATGAATGATATGGGCATGGACTCCAGCTTGGGTTGTGGCTTTTGGTCATTCCCATCTGTTTACCATGTGAAATGTTCCTAATAAGATACCAATATTCCTCTTTCACCTGGCATGATCAGGTTGTTTCTCCTTGAAACATGGGGGTTTCCCAATAGGAGACTCCAGTCTCTGCTAGGAAGAGACTGGGGTTACATGGAGGAATGGTAAAGGCTATGAAATTGTCAAAAAGGGAGAAGGAAGTTTGAGAGAGCTCCTCTGCAGAGATATTTTTTGTTTACAGAGACAGTACATATAACACCATGGCTTTGACAGAGGCACGGCCCGGGATTTGGACCTTGGTCTGTCTGGTACCAAGGAGGGATACATCTGACACTTAGAAATATGCTGATTCAGCCATAAGGCTTCCAAAGTGCCTCTTAATGTGAAGAAAAGAGCAGAAATATTCGTTTTATTTCCATACTCAGACATAGAAGGAGGCCACAGTTCCATTCACCCTGTTTGAGGCTAGTTCACCAGTCAAGGAGGAATTATAGGGTGGGGTCATTTTTTAAGATTAAGATGCCAGTGATCCTCAGATATCACCTCCCAGTCTCCGGTGTATGCACTCTTCACTGTTTTCTGATGGGGGGAGAGCACACAGAGCCTCCACTGCAGCCAAGAGATGGAGAGGACAGCAAATTGCAGAATCAGGTAAAGACCTAATTGGTTACAGCATTCCAAGGTTATTTGGGAGGGTAAGAGGAAATCTCACACTTGCTCACGTGAATGAATTGTACAGGTAAAAATCTTGGGAATATATCGCCGAATTAGGACCGATCTGAAACTGGAAGTACTATGTCCTTCATGCACTTGTAAAGAGAATGGTCAATGAAAAACTGTCTACCAGTTTATGTAAAAGTACCTGCCTGTTTTTCCATGTCTACATATGGAAAATTTCTGGGAATAAAGACTTTTAACATGAATTTTTTACCTAGTTTTTAACAATATATCATGGATGTCAACCATGTTTGTTAGAATTCACATTTCATAAGCAACGTAGCAAATTTTAGAATTCAGTCCTCTTAACATTTCTTTTCACTTCAGATTCAGTTTGCTCCTCATATGCACCCTAACCTAGTTCCAAGAACTTATGCAAATGTTTAGTATTAAGCACAAAGTGTTCTGTGGTGCCATGACTACACACTCATAGAAGTGATCAAATATTATAGGATATAAGTATGAAAATATTCAATTAAGTACCTAGTTAGTATAAATTTTCTATCCCAGGGAAGGAGGCAAATCTGCCCCAAGAATGTAACAATTTAACTTCCTGTTGCACATTCCAGTCCTCAGAACCTAAAGGGAGGTCTCATGTAATCAAAAAAAAAAAAAAAAAGAAGTAAAAATGTAGTGCTTTTCGAGACATATAGTTTTTAAGAAATGCCTCATTTATATGGATTTGAAGTTATAATCTCAGAACAGACAGTTTGAGAGACTAGTCCAGAGACTCTTCAATTCCCCATCTCATTCAGAGAAGCCACATGGTAAATTCCTTATCACAGAATCACAGAATATTCAGAATTGGAAGGGACCCACAAGGAACATCAAGTCTATGGGGATCAAACCCAAAATCTGGAGGGTTATTAGCACAATGCTAATGCCAACTGAGCTAACCTGGCATCTGTAGACAAGATGACTCATCATCCACCCTTTTACAATCATCCTTATCAAGAATTTTATTCAACATTTGTGGGAAAGGTCTTCTATGAAGACAAATGGGGAAAAGATTGTTCCCACATCTCCAATCAGTCACCATGATTCACCGTTAACTCAAACAAGGAAAATCTCTTATCAAGAAAAGAAAAAAATACTTCTTTGGATTATATACAAATCACTTAGTAGAGATTAATCCTTCCTAATGCGTGACAGAGGATCTGGTACCTCTGTTTTTAGGCCCCTTTTGATAGATTTATAATTACCTGAGACAGAACTTGATCCAGGAATTGATCCATTCTTCACTATGAGAAACACTCCAATCTTCCATTTACTCATGTCCACTGTGGACATATTCATTAAATTTTCCCTACCAGCATTCTGCTTTCACCCAAGCAAAATTATTTCTAGGATTACTTATCTTTTCCCCTCCACTTCTTTTCTTTTGCTTTGTCAGCCGTTGAGCAGAACGCCCAGTACGTGCTCAATCGTCATTTCACTTGCGGATAAGGGCTCATTGTTTTCCACTCAGACATGGAATTTCTTTACGAAAACAGCTTGGATTTTCAGTCTCTTCCAGTCCACTTTACTGTTAAAATTTCCCTTACTCACTGTCTTCATGTGGTTTCTCTCCTATAGGAATGACTCTTGCCGGGTCTCAGGAGAGCACCGCTGTGCCGCAGCACCTTTCTCAGCTTGCGTCACTAGAACATCACAGTCTGGAACCGGTTTTCCATCTTGCGGTTCGCCCATTTTATTTCCCCTGCCCGCCCTGAATTCTCAACGAGGAGATTTTTTTTTTTCCCTTTCTTAACTGTGGGGCTTAAGGGATCACGATGTTGCAGTTATTTGTGGCTTGGCTTTCACTCTCTATTTCTCTCGTCTTACAATGCTTCTCTCCCACC